TTATACACTACTGTATCTTCAAATTATTGTAATACAGCTTATATCTGAACTCACCTAAAGCCAGATAAGGAATCTCATCGAATTCTACTTTATTTTACAATAGCACTAAGTAAGAACGAATGTAAAAATTGTAGATTTTCTTCCAACTGGTTGAATAAAAAAACGTCGTACGTGTTTTCATTGAACGAACACGTCAACGTCGAACAGGGATATTATTAGTTACGCAACAGGTTAAACGGTATGTGTGGGAAGTTTGTTTAAGCATATATTACCGCTAATATCCCAATTAAACAGTAGATAAACAAAAGCCAATATATCTTGGACGAAAGCTTTTGGAAACCAACGTATTTAGATAGCATTCTCCCGTGTAAAGTGCCACCAGGTATAATTAATCAGTTATTTTTATGCTTATGTGCCCTATTACCTCCAGATCTTTGTTAGTTACAGATCACTAAAATCATTCGCTCATTTTCAAGGAAAGCTTTTGAAGTATTCCCACCCGTGTTCTAACTAACACGACGAGCAATTAACTTAATGATCTATCAATTAGATGGGACGATTGCCGTTTCACTAATTTCGATTTGAATAACTTGCATTTATCACGCATACATGCCAACAATTTGACAGAGACAGAATTTAAGATTGCCAACCCTGAAATGCCATTTATAAAATGGGTTTTTGTTAACACAAGTAGACGTTCTCCAACTGTCTCTTTCAATACTCTCAATCCTTTGAACACTTTAAAACGGTACACGAACGCGTTCACGATGATCATCTTTGTAGCTCTAATCCAATCGTTTAGTCCTTATTTAGCGAAGGCTCATTTATGGACTATGATTCGATCAATTATTTCCCATCGGAAGATATAGATGTAGCGGGGATGAATACATTAAACTAAATGTCGCTTTCTTGCTGTTTTATGTTGGCGTTTGCAATTTTGAAAGAGATTTTGATTGTCCTAAAGCCAATAAAAAAATATTCTTTAGCAGCTTTATGGTGAGTGGCTACTAGTTTTAACTAACACAATTTAAATTGGCAGAAAACACACCCCATTTCTATTTAGCACGTTAGCGCAATAACATAATTGCCAATTCCAAACGTAGCGAATGAATGGAAGGAAATAATTAGGAATTTATCCTTACACTTTTGCATTGGAATGTTGTCGTTACATTTCAAAACAGATCACTTACAATCGTCTATGAAAAACGAGCACAACAAATTCCAACATTTAAAAGTCATTCTCATTATAATCAAAATATGGCCGGCTATTATCAACCTACTGATTTCCGATTGAAAGCTGTTTTTTTAAACGAATTTCTTTCTCTCTACCTCATCGAGACACGTGTAGCACTTTCGTCTGATTAAATGGACGTAATAGTTGTATTAAAATCGATATGTGACATTTCAATCTTCCAACTGCCCTATTTTTCACCTTCATCGACCAACCCATTTTATAAGTCTAGACGTAACGATTTCTCCGTCATTTAAATTTATTTCAATTATATCATAAACTTTCCTTGATTCGAACACTTTCCAACTTGTGCTAAAAATATCTTCTCAATAACATAAATGGGTTCTGTAAATCTTCCAAATTGTGCGGGTTAAATTCGTGACTTTCTATTTTTAAGGGTTAATTAACGGTTGACATCGATCCATATAGTATCACTGCGACTAAAATGTCTAGATATCGTGAAGTCCCTACATTCAGATGCCACAGTTAAGTATCGATTTGAAGTTACGTCAGTTTAGTGTAAAGGTCGGAGGATTAGGATTGACGATCGTCAATTATGACTTTTTTAAATTCTGCTCTCGGCAATCGTTTGAATGAGTTCGTAGAGTAATGAAATGGGATTGAATTTCAGATTATTTACTCAACTAAAACCCAAACGCCCACACTAAGAAAAATATTAGTACCTACTTTATTTTATATAGGGCATTTTTTACCCGAGCTAAAATAATGGAGTTGTATTAATATTAAAAACAAAAGATGACACACAGCTATCAAAATAATTACTTAGGCACAGACGCGATGCAATGTACATTATTGACTTTAACAAGATATCATAATGCTATTTTTTTCACTACTAGCGTCTGATGACATGATTATTAACCTTTTTTCCACTTGTAAAGTAGGCTTTCTCGGCATTTGTTCAAAGTGGTTAATAATTTTTTATTATTAACTAGTAGTCAATAATGAGAACTGTCACGCTGTCACTTTCAGAAAACACAACCCGAAATTTTGCTCAATGAACGTTTAGACAAGTTCTCTAAAACGAAAAATTGCCACCATTCGCAATTTCCAGAGAAATTACATACCTAAAATTATCATATTTTGAAAAAATTCGAACGAAATTACTCTTTGAAAAATCTCAATGACAGAACAAAATACGGCCTGTTTGACTTGTACTTCCACGTACTTGATTGACATGTTAAATTAAGAAACAAACAATTCTGTCCAACCGTTAACTCTCTTATCAATATAATATGTTAATTTAGAGGATTTCAAGTGCTAGTAGTGAAAAAAATAGTATATATACCACGGACTTCTCTACCTTGATATATAATGTACTATTATAAGCAAATTAGCGTTTTCAGTACGGTATAATATACCTTGTATACGGCAAGGCAAGGGTAGATAAAGTGAAACAGATCAATGTGCATTCCAATGACATTTGTCATTCTCATTAAAAATGGGAAATTACCTTACAATTATTACAATAAATCGGAGCGGTAGAAATTTACTGTGCAAGACAAGACAATTTGAGTTTTTCTCTTAAATTTGATTATGCAGTATAATAAGTTTTACGCTACTGTATCAAAAAAAAGTGTATCTACTATTTAATAATAATATAACATTAAAATTAAAAATATTTCTTAACTTTGAGTATATTAATACTTTTTTGTCAGTTTATATGCAATGCATTTCGACGTTTTTATACTTAATTTTGACTTCACTTTTTAAGAATGAAACAGTGTTTAAGGGTAATTAAAGTGTGTTGTCTTTTATATCAGAATGTAAAAGGCTCTCGAGTAAACTATGTCAGGCCCCTCCATAATTTGTCGGCGCCCCTGTGAATGAATTGTGATCAATGTAAGGGCTAGCTAGACGATCTTGTTTTTTGCGGAAGTATGCCCAGAGATAGCGTTTCTAACTGATTGTGTAATTATTTGTACGGGATTGGATGACAATGTTAGAAAGGCAATTTGATACAATCTAGCAGGTTCAACGTTGACATGATGCTGGGCGTTGGGAAGACTATATGAAGTCTAATAAAATGAGGTGCGCCAATTTGTGAGTAAAGGTTGACAGTTTGTTTTTATAAATCTCTAATTCAAACATTGTAATGGGTTTTCGTCACGGAAATAAAATGTGTTCACATTCTATAGTGCATTATGTATTATTATGAAAAGATTTTAAGGACATAAGTGATAAATAAAGCAGTAAATTAAATTAGAGGTATTTTCGCGAGGTAATATTATTCATAAGCACTGTCTAATGAGGTTATCCTAATTCGTAACATTTACAACATTTACATAAGTAAACTGTTTATTTGCAATAGCAACCTTCTTATGACTTACCTAATTACATACAGGTAGCATTATAAGGGGTAATTAAGGCTGCTAATTGCTTCAAATAACAGGAAAATTAAAAAAAAAATGTAGCGTCATCTCATTTGACTCTTTAAAATTGGCTTTTCTTTTTCACCGTGTCTCCGCGAAAAATTTATTGGTTTATCCTGTTCACCATGAAGCGAGAAGAAGACTACAAGTGTATTTACAAGTTTCTGCAATTTTTTACTACAACTTGTCGCTTCTAAGCCGCCTTACTTCCCATTCATTTCCGTCTTCCGCCCCCTACCTATCTCGTTATCACTTCTCTCAACTTCCGTCGCGCATTTTTCATATTTCCTTAATGCCTCATTCATATCGTCTTCACGTTTTGCAATCTTATTTACGCTTCCTTCATGGCTTCGCACCCTTCCGTACTTTTCTCTGCTTGACATCTTAATCGCACATTCTTTACGTGCTACTATGGCACTTATTGTGCATCTTATTAACTTCCGTACGCCTTCTTTGGGGCTTTTTTAACTCCTTCTTCATGATACTTTACTCACATTTGCCTTTTTACCTAGGTACATTTCCGCCATGCACGCTACCTTACCATTCTTCTACATCTTTACACCCCCTCCCATCCAAACCTCCCTCGCATTCTCTACATACCGTTTTCATGTCATCTCTTTACATCTCCTTTGCGACACACTCTTTCGTTTGATCAAGTTTCCTCCACATCGCCTTCTTCTAGCTAGCATTATTTACGCCTCCTTCCAGCTTTCCTCGCGCTTCCCCTACTTATTCTTCGACCGCCCTCTTCCCTCACGTACACTTTCCATTTGTCTCGTTCCTCATTAACTATGTCTCAACAACACTTTCACGCTTGTTTCTTGTACTCTTCTGGCTACCTTTACATTCCTTTGTAAACTCTCTGTAACTATATTGTAGCTGTTCATGTCACAAAAACTGAAAAAAAGAGACCAAACCACAAATTCACCTGCAATTAGCATCAACAGAATAAGATTTGTACTTCATTGAATTTTGATTGTGGTTTCTAGTGTTTCTAGTTTTTTTTGCTGCCTCCAACATATCAAAATTTGTACTTTTGAACGGGTGGGGACATTACAGAAATATAATTATGTAAGGTAAGAACAATGTAATCTGAGTTTGACATAATTTCAGGTAATTATACTGTGCGATCAAAAATGAGTTGCTGTCGAGTCACCTTTGGAACTTTTATTTACATGGGAAATCGTATTTAACTTGAACTTCCAAAGGCGACTCGACAGCAACTCATTTTTGATCGCCCGTTATGTACATTGAATTCGCACTTGGGCTTTTTGCAAATAGCAACCGTATTTTTTTAAAATGTAATCCTTCATCTCATTGTACCATTTACAGCACCTACCTTAATGGCACAACTTCTCTAATGAAAATTTTTGTTTCAGGTGAGTGCCAAATTTGTACCCAACTATCCTTCCACTACAAGCGTAAGTATTTTCACATAGCGGAGCCTTCTGTCTCAATAATGGGTTCTTCAACAGTTTGCTTACAAAAACATGATTTCTTAAACGTTTTTTGCAAATAAGAATGTTGGAGTGTATCTGATTAAATACGGGACGATTTCGTAAAATTTCTTTCCATCGTTCACCCTAAAAGTCAACGTTTTACGCGCTAAGATCTAAAACGCTCGGACAGGCGGACGGAGTTTATACAGGTATTAATAAACAAATAAAATGAGACTCCAGATCGCACTTCCTCCATATTTCCTTTCTTGAGAAAACATCTGGAATTAAATTATTCTCCCCCTTTATGTGTTTGATTTCAAGGGAATACTCTTGCAAAACTATTAAGATGCTTCTGTACCTGAATTTCTTTCTCTTGCACTTCAACCGCTTACTCTTATTCGACAACTTACACTTCCTGTTGATACTCTTGGACTGCTTGCGGTTGAACTTCTGCAATTTCTTCTTGCTTCAGGTCGTGAATTTCTTCGACTTGGTTTGTTGCTGAATTTTCCACTGAACTATTTGACGTCGTCTGGATATCTTTCGTATGTCTTCTGTAATTTGAGCTGTTTGTTTTTCCATCTCCTCAACTAGCTCTCTTCTAGTCGAATCCATTTTTTTAAATATCTCCTTTATCGTTTCTTTAATTCCGCATTGGAATAATTACAAAAACTGACAAACATCTTTTTACAAAATTAATTACTTTTCAGCGATAAGTGTAAACCTTTTCTATGAACGGAGAAAAATATGAGATAAACTTTTCAAATATGACACAAATGATTGTACTTATCTTACAACACGCAAATTCTTAACAATTACATAAACAAAATAAACAAATTACAATACGGCTATAAACAAAAATTCCAAACTACGCAAATTGAATTCTTACTCTGTTGCTAAGCCAATCAGCAGACTTGATCTTGATCATCTGAGATGGCGCTCGAAAATTCAATCAAATCTGTATAATGTGTATGTAATGTGTAGGCAGGCCCAAGTTTTTATACATTTGACACGCCCGTATCCTTTTCCCTGCATTGGAACTCCCAAAACGACGCTTTAGTGGGGATACGCAAGTAATTGTTAAATTATTTTAAAAATAAAGTGCATGATATACAAATGTTTATATTGCGACCTCCAGGGAAAATTTATATACAGTTGGCTCTTTATCCTATAGCATCATTACATTCTAACTCAAATCTACGTCCTTTTTAAATATCAATTAGGTGCAGGGTAGAAGGCTATACGCGTTCCAGTTGCCTCGCACGCAATTCTGTAATCATTGTTCTTTGCCGAACAATATCCAATATTAACAAAAAACCGCCTTGAGATACATTTTAAAGCGGAATCGAAGCCAAATGTTATTTAATTGAAGGAAACCTGTTGCGTCCAATTTTATTTTTCTCCAAGGCAAAGGTTAATAATACGTAGAAATATCAAAAATGTAAACTGGACGCTTCTATTTTTATACAAAATTAAGGTTAGTTACTGGAAAAAAATGTGATTCGCCTTCTGTGTCTAGAGATGAATGACAATGGAAATAAATTAACAGTGTAATTCTCTTTTGTTTCTTTGAACAATATTACTGTACATAATTGTCCAATTCACGCTAATATAATTGCGGCAAATATTCAATTCTGTAAAATTCTAATTTTACCCTTACCTAGGTGGTAAAACATTCGCGATCGTTCTTGTCACTAAAGCTTTGTTAAAAACACACAACTGAGAATGAGAGGGACTATCATAATAACATGGACGTAATAGTTATTTACATAAAAGTCAGGAAAATGATACATTACCGGCGATGAAAGATTGAAGTGCGAGGGCCGAGTACTTTAATTACTGAGTGAGGTAATGACATTTTACTGACGAGTTTTGTATTAAATTTTACCCGAAAATTTCAATTTTTATATGGAACTTTTGATTAATGTCAATCTGGCAGCGATGACAGGAGTGATTATAGACAATTGGAAATGTCAAAAATGCGGCCGGTTAAGTGAGGGTGCGGCCGCGGTAAAGTGACAAGCGGCAGGAAACTTAGCCTGCTCTGATGCCTGTGTCATGGAAACTAAAATTTCCTGACAGAAAGTAGGCTTTAAAATGAAGGTTATCAGGACGATTTTGGGTGAACATTTTTCAAAACCGAGTGGGTGACAGTGATAGCTCATTTCTCCATTGATTAACTAAGAACCATACGCGTGTACCTACAATAAAAAAATATTAGTCAAAATTTTTGGAATAAATTACTTCCCCTTATTTTTTGTGCATTAATAAGTCACGGTTAGAAAAACAGAAGGACTTCATTAAAAAAAAACTTACTTTGACTGTTTTTTTCAATTTTGAATGCTATTTTTTGTACCCTCAGTACTTATATACAGGATGGGCCATTAGCCATTTTTACCAATATAAAATCTATCTGTTACTTAAAATGATTTCTTGAGGCTTTTCAGGTGTATCGCCTTTTTTATATTTCTCAAAGCACGTGTGTGGCAAAACTCAAATCAGTTCAATCTCGCCTTTCATTCCTTTCTCCGAGTCCGTATTTTCCAATCACTCGCCCGTAACCTCCTCCGTTCCCACACTGGCATTCCATTCTGCGTCTTCGTCATCATCATGATCCCTTGTCGGGATGCATACCTGGATTGTTATGATTTTATCACAGTTACTGTGATAATGCTTATGTCTCTACCTTTTTATTAACCATAAATGAGTTTTCTAGTTTTTCGCCTTGAAGAAGAACGTTTCTTTCTAACGCTCCACATCCCGAATCCAATCCTATTCCTCTTTTTCTTCTTGGATGCACACTTCGTATATTTTGTCTCCCGGAAATCCGATTGAAGAGATATTTTACTTTCGGTATTAACTTTAATATACGAAGTACCCATTCTATTTCATTTCTCATTTCTGCCACGAGGATATTTGTACGTAGATGTATTTAAGGTCGAATTGGTAATTTGCAGATATGAGAATTAATTGTATAATTTTTATGCGCTAAAGCAGCGTTATTATGTAGTTGCAATTGAAAGAATTGTCTCAGGGCAGACAATGTATTATGGACTCTTTTTTGTGCCATAGTAAAACTAGAACCTTGAAAGTGGAAATGAAAACATTTATTTGTCGTATCCGACGTGTGCGCGCCGTTAAATAAAATTAAAATGTCTTTTTATTTACACAGCAAATTTCACGGTTTGCCAAGGGATGAAATTGTATTTCGACCAGGATTACCGGAATGCTGCAGATCCTTAAAGTAAGGCAATAAAGCTCCAATGTTCATTAAATTGTTTAATTAAACGAAAATGTCACAATACACCAGTATAGCGCTTTAATGTGTAACATTAAGCTACCCTCTGCTTTGAGTAGTAATTTAGGCGCGAAAGTTTTCAATTGCAATAGCCACCTCAATCTAATCGATGTAAATTATTGGCCCTACATAATCAAATGGTTTCCTGATATAGACACACGTGACCGGAATAATAATTACGAATTATCAGTCCAGAATTTAGCATTGGGGAGCGAAGGTGGTCACATGGGAAAAAAGCTGGGCAAGGAAATAAAATGAATTTATTTATATGAATATGAGAGAATTGTTTCTCATTACTGTCATTTCTCCGTCAAATTGAAGCGGGATTCGAAAAATTGAACGAATTCGTTTTTCGCCTATAAATCCTTGAGATAAATTGCTTTATTTTTAAAGGTGGGTCTAGGACCGTGAAAATAAGACAAAACAAAACAAAATTTTTCTGTTTCATATTTAAAGAGAAATAGAGTTTGCAATTTCTCTATAACTATCCCTCGAACGATAATGTCTATAGGAGCATAATTAACATATAATTACTCACTCTAAACTTGAAACTTGAANGCCATTGAATAAAAACACTATAAGAAGCCTAACCCCGTGGAAATAAAGCGCGACAGAGTTTGAACTGAGAATATAATGGGAACACTGTCAATAGAGTCGATTCTTGAACTGAGAAGAATGAGAATTTGCTTTCCTCCTATTTACCGCAAGGAGAGTTCGGTGGTCACAACCAATGCGGGTGCAAGGGGATTTGTGAGATTTGTCGCGCTTTCTTCCATAAGCGTTAGGCTTCTTATAGTGTTTTTATTCAATGGCTTAACGTATCTAAGGTGTTGTCGACACAGTATGCAACACACAATGCACCGCGGGGCAAAAATCGCTGGGATGATTTATGCAATATAATGAAATAAGCTGTTATTTTAGATGTTCCGTTCATTAATCATTCTCGTGATTTTCAATGGATAAAAGTTTAAAGGGCCAATGAATCAGAGCCATTCGAAGAGAAAAATTTACTCCCACCATAGTGCATTTGCGGGGAATGAAGCCGATTTTAGAAAGGTACCTACGAAGGTGTTAAACAATAATGCAATACCGAGCGTTTTCGACTTTCCCATTCACTTAAAATAACGTAGAAATATTATTCCACATCCTTTACCAGCAAGACAACGGCAATACCTATTTGCCTATTAGGTATAGACGTAACTAAGTACTTACTGGTACTAAGTATATTTCCGGTTTTGTTACAAGAAAAATAGCTAAGTCTATTAAATGTTCCATATGTGCAGATGCGATGTTCGCATCAGAGAGTCATTCAAAGCTTTTAACTAGAAAAAATCGTGGAGGATTGTTGCACGTATCAAGCGATATGCATTAAAAATTTGCCAAATTGCTGAAAATGTGTTCAGGTTTTTCATTCAATCCACACCACACCGCGTTGTAAACAAAATGGTTATCAGCAGTCTAAGAAAAATAAATAACAGTTACAGCCCATTTGGGTTTTTGGATAGGCATATATTGAATCAAAATCCGCTAAATAATCATATCTTACTACTTACATCTTTAGTTTTAAGAGTATATTTTCCCATACGTGTTCACCACCAAAATACACATATAAATCAAATTAGGACTAGAGTAAAGCAGTTATATACCAATTTAGTTCAAATAAAATACCAATAAATTCGATTAA